TATTTTATTTTATTTTATTATATTTTCTCCTACTGTATCATGCTGCTGAGTGACTGCTGCTCGTCAAACACATTTCATTGCAATGTTGACCCTGTGCTAACTTGCATATGACAAATAAAACTGAAACTGAACTGAAACATAGTTATTTGAATAAAAGTTGCCACTGTTGTACTTAAATTTGTAAATCTTGTCCTAAACTGCATGTTTAGATGTTTTTCTGTTCCTCCCCTACACACCTAAGATGGTGGGGAAGGCCATTAGCTATAGTGTTTAACTTCAGACATTTCATGAAAGATTCTGGGTTTCCTTATTTGGTAAAGAATGTTTACTTCCTGCCCTTTATAGGCTCACCTGTGTTTGTATATAGTGGACCGCTGAAGGGGTTAAACCGTATACAGGGGTGAGGGGAGACGACCCTTTGTGATCAGAAGACAGTGCCTTTAACTTTTATGACCATATGGGTTTTACAATGGGTGGTGCTTCTGCTCACGGCATAAAAAAACTGCAGGGAAGGCTGGTTCTTTGAAGTTGTCTGGGATCAGGCAGGAGCTCTGAGCTCCAAGACCCTGATCTGATCGTCTTCCCTTGGAAGTTAAAATGTATCAAGCTCTGTCTTGCTTTGTTCACGGGAATAAGTCTCTGAATCAGCGGGGCCTGCAAGCACAGACCTAACATTTATTTGGTACTTCAGAGCCGGATCCCAACAAATGGCTTTCCACCGAGGAGGGGAGAGGACACACCAAAGTCTGTTGACAGCCACACGCGCGCACAGTGCCTTATAATGGGTGGTGCTTCTGTTCACAGTATAAAAGGCCTGCAGGGAAAGCTGGTTCTTTGACGTTGTCTGGGATCGGTTGAGGAGCTCTTAGCTCCAAGACCCTGATCCGATCAGCTTCCCTTTAAAATGGATAGAGCTTTGTTCACGGGAATAAGTCTCTGAACTAGGGCTGGGCCATATCATACCATTCACAGTAATACCGGTATAATGTTGGGCAACGACAAGAAAATGAAATATCACGATAGAATATGGGTAAAATGCGCATGCGCAGTGGCTTTGTTTTCGTACGCACATGGCGAAAAAGGCACAGCGGCAACTGAGAATGATAAGGGTGAAAGTGGATCGTTGAATGAAACGGAGGAACCAGAATTGGTTTGTAAAAATGCAACTTCAGTGGTGTGGAACTGGTTTAGCTTTCGTCCGTCAGATTTATTACCTTTTCCTAAAAGACTTTCACATGTGGGCACTCCCATATGCAATGAAACAAAGAGCCCCTATC